CACACACACACACACACACACACACACACACACAAAATATTACACAAACTTAACAGTTTTGAAATTTGTCAAAACTTTCCAAATAAAGCCATTCAGAGTGGTCATCTTTGGAGACAGAATATTTCAAGTATATAAAGTACTATATAAGTTGATATATAAGATATAATTAACATTTCCAGACATGCCATTAGTTTCATACCAAACACATGTAGGCTAAATATTGTCAGTCACAGCACTTCACAATTTACATATAAATAATTAGTTGGACAAGTTCACAGGCTTGTGAAACGGCTTGTGAAACGTAGGAGCAGACAGGACTGATTGGATCGGTGCACCTCCTCAGCTTTTCAAATGTGTGCTCATGTCACGCGCAATCGTTGGTTGATTTATAACCAAAAATGTTGATTATAAACTATCTTAGAATCAAATTTGAAATTTCTTCAAGTAAAAAGGATTCAACAAGAATTCAATCAGTTAGCTTTCCATTCCTTCTAGCATACAAGAGCATTTTTTAGGGATTATACAAAATTAACATTGTAGTCTTTTATTAAAAAACAATAGCCCCCATTCATTTTTGGAGGATATAAATATTAGTATTGAATATTTATCCTAATTGTTTATAATGCTTTTTACATCTCCGACTGTTGTTTGCAGGAGTGGAAGTACCATCGCTTACTACACCCTCACTGCCTCTTCAGGTGATGTTTCACAAGTTAAATTAGCAAAAGAGGAAATGTTAAAGCGCCTGGCAGAATCATACCCAGTGGAGTTTGTTGGTAAGTAAACTGGAGAATGTGTTCTGCTGTAGTCTTCTAATGAATTACCTGCATGTAATGAGGATCGTCTAATTATTTTCTAATATTTTGCTTATGTAAAAAGATGAAGAAGTTAACACCACGACTGTATTTGCTGGGGAAGAAATGACAGTAACCTGTGGCCCTCCTCCTGAAGAACTCAGTTTTGGTTTGGTCAAAAGCGTAGAGTGGACACACATGGGTAGCGTCATTGAGAAAGGGGTTTCTTTGAAGAATGGACAGTCAGTCCTAAAACTGCCTTCTTTTTTTCCACTGAATAATGGTAAGAATGTTTTTGTATTGTTGACAATAATGATATTCCTAGTTCCATAAGATGCTAATATATTTTCTTATTTTCAACATAACACTGCAAAAAATGCTGATGTGTAATGTTTTGCAAGATTTTTAATGGGTTACAGGATAATAGAAATATATTTGTTGAATAATCTGTTCATATACTTGAAGTTATACATATTTCATTTTTCCAAGTCACACACATTAAGACTCTGCACATTGCAAAGTGTACATGTGGAGTTCACATAAAGAGACAGAGAACCAACAGAAGAGCTTGGAGTTGATTTAAACTTGATTGAGCAATGAGGAAGATCAGGTGGGAAATTGTTGAGTGTAGAACCTAGAAACTGGAAGATAGAAATTTGTTCTGATGAAGGATATCAGACAACATGCAATCACTTGAGATCACCTCAACTGAACTGAGACCTGGGTTTGTAAATTTTGTTTGTTTCATTCATTACACATTCACATCTCCCCAAACGAACCCGACTTTGTCAAACAAACTAGAGTTTGATTGAAGCCGACCAAGCAGGGCTGGTGTGAATGAACCCTTAAACCCAAAAACACTTTCAGGCAGAGTCTGGGTTATCCCAGAGGAGAAACTCTCAAACACAAACTCAGTTTTGTGCCGCCTGCAGTCCAGTGCATCAACTAATGTTTACAGTACCGACTTCCACAAGCACATGCAGCCTGTATTTAAATGAAGGGATGAGTGGATTCACATATTGCTGTGCTGTATTCTGTATTAAGTTTTTCAATGTTTGTTGTGTTACTCTGCCACCATAATATCTTAATCACAGTGAACTGTTTTGTTTTTGTTTTGTTTTTTTTCCACCAGGGATTTACGTCTGTAAGTTAAAACGGGGAGATAATTCAACTTTCAAACAGAGCATAAATGCCAAAGCCATTCCGATCCCTCAAATCATCGTGAATCCAGTTAACATGTCAGTGGAATGTGAGAAACAACACTCTGTGTCACTGAACTGCTTTGTCAACAATGGCTACACGGTTACATTTCTGAACACAGGTAAAATCAAACAAGGAAAAAACCTGCCTGGCTGTCACAATGATGTGACATACACAAAGAAACCATCTTCTAATTGAAACTACAGCAGTGTATACACATGTTAAATACATTGACTTGCTGTATTTTCTAACAAAAAAATAAAATCTTGCATCACTTTCATTCATACTTACATGTTGATCTACTTTCTCTTGGTCTGCCACAAAATCCCACTAAACATTGGAGTTTGTGGTTTATTGTGTGACACAATGAGAAACTTAGATTAGCATCAATACTTTTTCAAGGCCTGCGCTGTAAAATTTTCTTTAATGAATATGCCCTTTTGCCCTTCAGTAGCATCTAATGTAATGTTGAAATGTTGATAACTTTGTGCTTCAGATGTCAAGGAAGGATCTAATGTCACCCATAAGTATAAAGTGGAAAATTGTTCAATTACAAAGATCTTCACCTGCGAATCCAAAAACTCATCAAAATTTACAAAGAATATCACACTGATGTTATATCCATCAAACAGTGAGTTTTAATTGAGGCCAAATAACATTCAAATACATAGAAAAAATACATGTCATTTTTTGAATGGTAACCTTAACCACAACTAAGCATTTTTCTTTCTCCAAAGATATTAAATGTAGAGATGACACGTTTGGTAACGGACCGGTAGGTTTTGTGGCTAAGTTGGGCTGCAAAGAGGGGAAAGTGGGAGAAATAACGGCAGTTTGTCAGGAGACTGGTAACTATGGACAGATCCAAGACAACTGTGTCTTAGAAGTTGTGAAGAACCTGCTGGATCAGTCTGAGGTGATCATCATCTTGTTCTCTGGACCTTTCTCACTCCCAATCATTATATTGAAACAAATTGTTCCTCTGCTAAACTACATATCATTGAATGAACCATAATCCAATAATTTCACAAAATGCTGCTGAGAATTAAAAAAAAAAAAAAAAAAAAATAAATATATATATATATATATATATATATATATATATATATATATATATATATATATATATACCAAAATTTCAATATCTTTTCAGATCATATTAAAAATATATCTTTTTAAAAAGACAGATTTTTTTATATATGTTACAGGTTTTGGATGAACTCACTCTTCCACTGTTCTTAGAGCAACTCAGCAATGTGACTGTCAACTTCACTGATGCAATAACTGACTCTCCAGCCAACATTGACGCCATCGTGAGGATCCTTAGTAATGTAGCAAATTTATCATCATCATTAGGAATTAAAATAGAGCAAGATTTGATGAGGGTAGGTAAATGTCAGGTTTGTTTTTAAGATAAATATACATTTCAGCTTTGATATATTGATTTTCTGTCATTCCAGAACATCCTGGAAACTGCAGGCACTCTCACTATTGGCAAGGCAAAGACATCGTGGGAATCCCTCAACAACAACACAAGAAACACTGATGAAACAAAATTAAAAAGTGCCAGCTCTTCACTACTGTACTCCATTGAAAACATCACATCCCATCTCGTTAACAAGTCCTTCAGCATTGAAACACCCCATATTTGTTTGAACAAATCTACATTCGTGAACACCTTCAGTGGCGACTTAAACTCCTCTGTGAAAATAGACATACCTGACACTGGTGGAACAAGTCACTCAATAACTACAATAGTATTTTATTACATGGATAATGTGCTTCCTGCAAGGGATAAAAGCAATTCATCATCCAAAGTTATCAATGGAAAGGTTGCACTTATTTGGCCCGAAAACAAAATCACAAATATTTCTTTAGCATTTGATGTTCTACACGATAAGTTGAGAAATCCTGAATGTGTTTTCTGGGATTTCAGTCTCTTTGGCGGTCTTGGAGGATGGAATGATGATGGCTGCATGCTAGTATTTAATGAAAATGGAACGATCAGCTGCCACTGCAACCACACCACCACGTTTTCTATTCTCATGTCACCCAACAGTCATGATAATTTTATATTAGCCTACATAACATACAATGGAGTTGCGTGTTCCATTGTTTCCTTGATTATATGTCTCATCATTGAAGGCATAATTTGGAAATCAATTGGGGACAACATGACATCGTACTTTCGTCACGTCTCCATCGTCAACATCGCTCTGTCCCTACTGATTGCAGACATTTGGTTCATTATTGGAGCGGTCATTTCAGATGCAGACCAGAAGAACCCTCCAGCCTGCACAGCCACTACCTTTTTCATCCACTTTTTCTACCTGGCTCTGTTCTTCTGGATGTTAGCGTCGGCCCTGCTGTTGCTCTACCGGACTTTCAATGTCTTTGATGGAGGTCTGTCTAAAAGAGCCATGCTGATCATTGGATTCTCTTTGGGATATGGAGCACCACTGATCATTGCAACAATAACAATAGCAGTTACTGCTCCCTCAAATCACTACACCAGAGAAAATAATGTCTGCTGGCTCGCCTGGGATACGCATAAAACGTTACTGGCGTTTGTGATCCCTGCCCTTACAATAGTGGCTATAAACTTCATAATCCTGACTCTGGTGATATCCAAAATTTTGAGAAGAAGAGTCGGAATGATTGGAGCTCAAGCAAGAGAGAGGCATGCCCTGTTGGTTATTGTCAGGTGTTCGGCTGTACTAACACCAATTTTTGGTGTAACTTGGGCTTTGGGATTCGTAACTATGGTTTCCCCAGAAAACTTTGGACTCCATGTTGCATTTGCATTATTAAATTCACTTCAGGTAATAATAATTACAAAATTTTTAAACTTTGATTTCACAGCAATACCATTCAGATGTATTGAAACTGCCTTATTTATGTGTTTCTAAAGGGTTTCTGCATTCTGTTGTTTGGAACACTGTTGGACAAAAAGGTTAGTGTCTCTTGCCTGTCAGACTTGTTGTAGCCAAAAATACTTTGCGTAAGTTATTGCACTCAAATATGATCTAATCTTTCCATTGCATTAAACATTTCATGCAGTGTACTAACTCATGACTAACTTTTTAGGTAATGTCAGAGATAGCAAAGAAATTCTTCTTCCTGAGTAGGACAAAGGTAAGAATAGTTTGATCAATCCACTTTTATTTCTTTTATTGTTTGTACTTCATGTGGTGTCCTCTAATTTTTTTTCTGGTCCTGGTTTCAGACCACCAGTCCAGCATCCTTTTTCACTGTGTTAAAGTTGTTCTGGAGATCAAAAGGTTTGTGAGTTTACAAAGCTTCTTGACTGCTGCTACTCAGATGTAGACCTTTTTACAAAGACACCAGCAGCTGGTGTCTTTGCAGCTCTAGTCAACTGAAGAACCCTTTTGGTGAAATGTCTATAGAAATCTATTTTTAGGCCCATCCATTCTTCCTTGATAATCTTAAGACAGGCATGTCAACATCTGCACTACAACATTAAATATACCTCTACACCTAACTTGTAGAGTGCATTCCAACTGAAAAAAGTGAAGAGCAGGGAAATGTCATCTCTTTCCACAATGGCCTCTCTTTGTTGGTGAAAAATGTTACAATGGTCCTCTCTGTGTTCTTGTAGATAGATACTACATAAACACGCAGTATTTGTAGCTATAGAAAAACAGGATGTCCTGAATGTGTACTCAGTAACATTCAGGACATATGCTGTTTTCTATTTTGCCCTCTGGGTGGCACTACAGGAACAAAAAAAAAAAAAAAAAAAAAAAGAAAAAACACTTACCAGCTTGTATTTTGTGGAACATTAGAGCATTTAGCAATGATGCAAGAACATCAGACATCTTAATTCATACTTTGTAACTTTAAAATGCACTTATGTCTGTTTCTTTGCACTGTACTTGAATTGACTTTTTATGTACTGTCTTTAATCAGTATTCAGATATCTCTGTTTATATGATGTTACAGGTATCTGTCAGTAATTGTTTTTTTCTCCTCTGTCACTTCACCGTATTAATTTTGCAAACATATTTTGATTAAAAAATAAACATTTTGTTGTTACAGTTTCCCAAAAAGGCTACCATTGGTCTTCTGAAGGATCCTGTGACTGATCCTCCAACAACTGGTATTTGCTGATGATGCCTCCCAATTTGGAAAGTTGACCGTCTGAGCAAAACAGCCTCAAAGTCCCAGTGATGGAAGGAGTAGTTTGATTTTTGATATGTTGTTAAAGCGTTAAGCTTGATGTATTTTCTTGTTATGTTGAAGGTTACACTAAAGATGGCACAGCAGTGTTATATTTACTTGTTTGTTACAGTCTGTCAGAATCAGTTGTTTTATGTTTGATAAATGTCAGGGTCCCTCAGCTTTTACAAAATGGGTTGAGAGTGAATGCTGCTGTTTTTACAATTTCTATGTTTGCATTCTCTTACCTCAACATCATGGAAATCTGAACTGAAAGTCGGGTACTTAATATTTATTATATGCTTTCTTTTGTTTGTTTGTTGTTTCTCTTTTTTTCCCTTTTTGATATTTTGGAAGTTCAAGCAAATGCTACTTGAGGTTTTGATGACATAGTTTGTTGAAGTAGTCTGGAATTACTTAAAGCATGTGAGCTTTGACCCATTCATTTCTAACTGATCATTGTTTTTCTTTTTACAAACTGTAACCATTTCATTTTACTCATAAAAATGTTTCATCCAAAACTACTGATCCTACTTTAGTAATGCAAATCTCTGCAAGAGCAATAAAGTCTTTTCTTGAAATAACCTTGTAACCCATTTTGAAACTATCTAATGAAACAATCTACAAGGTCTGTTTCCATAAAGTACTTCTTTTTATTTTCTACACTTACATAATCCTGTTCAGGATTTTTCAAAGGGAGTTTTATTCCTTCCCAGGGATATGATGCCATTTTATAGCACAATCAAGTAACTGTTACCTTTAATTATAAAAATGCTGTATATATCAAATATGGCTTAAAAGAAACTTGATGCCTTGAAATTGTGCCTGTTTCTTTAAGCTCCTCCTCTTTCGTACAGTCCCTTGTCATCACAATGTTCCTCCATTATGTTGTTTGCAACTGTTCTTGTCAACCATTCAATAAAATTGCTTGGCTTTGTACTTGTACACTGGAAAAAGTGTAGCACAGAGTTGTTCATTCAAGCTAATAATTTACAT